TCCTGCGCCATTCCTCTCCATCTTCCTCGCCCCCTCCCCCTATCCGCACCATCTCCTGCCTCCTCCTCACCCTCGCTTCTCTTTCTGCCCCCCTCTTCTCCTTCCCCTTCTGCTACTGTACCCCCACGCATGATGATGAGTACTACTCTCCCCTCTCTCCGAGGACGTGCCGAACAGCTCCCGGCATCTTCGCGCGTCGTTCTTTCCCTGAGGACGCGCCGAAAACCTCCCGACAAGTCCGCGCATTGTCCCTCCCCGAAGGATTTCAAATGATGGCCTGTTCAATCTGCTTTCCGACTCGGAACGTCTTCGGCCGTTGCGAAGGGCGCTCTCGCCGCGGCGGCTGCCGCACTCCTGCCCCGCCTACAGCCACGAACGTAGTGGGCGCGCCGATGACGGGACTGGCCTGCCAGCTGGTGGGCCACGACCAAGCTCTACGCCCCTCCGTGGCCCTGGATACCCACTGTGGGTACCCAGGGCCATAGAGGGTTGGTGCCCGCCACAAACAGATATACACAAAGACGCCCTCCAATAGACTCTTCCTGGGCCTCAGGGGAGGGTGGCGGTGTAGAAATCACCACTGAGGACCAGCGGCTTTCTACACCGCCGCCTCCCCTGAAAGTACAGGCGAAGTTCGCCGGAGGGTGCCAGTCTTTTCGTGGCGTGCTGTAGGCCACAGACGCCCCGGAACACCCGGGAGGTTCTACGGTCGAGGACGCGTGTGTCCTGGACCCCCCCATCGTGAGGCCACTGCACTGCTCACGAAACCCTTCAGGAGGATCGAGGATCGAGGATCGAGGAGGAGGAGAGAGAGAGAGAGGGCGGCCAGATCCGGCGCTCCAGCAAAAAGTGGAGCCGCTTTTCTCTCCTCCGCGGCCGCCCTCTTCTGTCCCCCGCCGACTTGTGTACCGTTCGCCGAGCAGTGCCCCCGCTTAGGCTGCGGACGCGCTGCGCGGTCGCCATCGTGCGACCAAAAAGTCTCTGATCCTCGGGCTTGTGACCGACCCTGATTCGACGTGGATTCGGCATGGATTCGATGCGGATTTGATGCGAGTGCCGACATGATGGACTAGAAAAGGTCCCTCGAATGGGGAGGCAACGAGGTACCGATACCGCTGCTCCCCGGACCTCTCCCAGGGTGCGTTCAGACCCAAATTTCGAGGCGAACCCAGCGGTTGCGACGAGAGCCTCCCAGGAGGCGCAAAAAGGCGAAAACGAGGCAGGGGTAGCAGTATCGGTACCTTTTCCTCCTCCGACCGAGGATGCAGCATCACGGTCCGCGCCGCCAGGGTTCGCGCGGCGACGGCGAGCAGAGCCGAGGGCGCCGAGGAGCTGTAGTTTGAGAGGCCGCCTTGTGCCAGGGCCCCGTGGGGCGGTCCCTGCGACGAGCGCAGAGGACACCGACGCCGACGAGGAGTGAGAACGAGGAGGAGGGCGACGACGACGACGACGATGACGACGAGGAGGACGAGGACGACGACGATGACGGCGGCGGCGACGGCGTCGGCGACGACGGCGACCCCGACGAGGCGGGGATCGGAGGGGCGGAGAATGCGGGCGTCCTCATCGGCCTCTGGGCCAGGCTTCGAATCTCATCCGGGGCATCGCCGGCGCCTCCGCGAGGCTGCCCTACCCTCCTCCCTCCTCGGCAGAGGGCGAGGGGGGCACGGGTGGGGTGGGGATGGTCGGGCGAGGAGTCTCGAGGGACAGGGGGCCAAAGGGGGTGGGGCGCCTGCCGCGCCCTCGACACCCGGCGCAGCGCCAGCGGGCTCCCGAAGGACAGTCGTGCTCTCAAGACTTCGCTCGCTCGCCCCCGTGGGATCAAGTCGGGCCTGGAATAGTAGAAAAAATAGAAAAGAGTAATAATAACAGAAAAATAACAAATAGAGAAAATAGATAGGACTATCCAAAAATGATAGAAAAATAGTCTGGGGGGCGATGTTTTCAGTTTTTGTTTTTGTTTTTGCCATTTTCGAGCACGTCTCGTATATTCGTTCGCCCAAAAGCCGCCCGTAGGAGGCCATGCCCGACCTGACCGTGGGGCGGTCGGGCACGGCGCGCCCCCGCCGCGCCGCTGCGCCGGCAGAGAGATACTGGACGCCCTGGGGCCTGGCAGGCCGGCAGCGGCCGCAGCGCCTGCCCCCGCGCCGGCAGCGGGGGCACGCGTGCTGCCCTGGCATCGCTCGGACGTGTGCATTTTTTCCTCGGCGAGGACCATCCAGGACCATCCTGGACCATCGAGCAACACAAAGCACGCCGGAAGCCGAAAAAATGCACGGGGAATGGACGTCCGAGCGACGGCGAGCTGCGCCCGCGCCGGCAGCGGGGGCACGCGTGCTGTGCGCCAGTGCCCGGCCGCCCCCGCCCTCGGCCCCTCTCCCGCGCACGCCGGCCAGTCTCGGGAGGGCAAAAACCACACAGACACAATTCACCGCCGATCCCCCAGAACATATGGGAAAATATGGGAAGTGGGGGGAAGACGGAAACCCAGAGAATAAGAGGAAAATATGGGGAATCCAGTTCTTTGTGTCTATGTATTTGTGGGTCCCAGGGCCCCTTCACAGTCCGCCTTTCGGTTGCCCCGGAGAGCCACGCGCTGGAGCGGGCTGCCTCCGCCTCGCCGCCAAGAGGGAGAGAGAGTGCCGAGGCCTGCCGCCCCCCGCCCGTCGGGGCTCCTCCTTGCCTCCTCCTCGTCGTCGCTGCCGTGCCGTGTGTCGCCCTCGCCGTCGGCGTGCGCCTTCGTCGCCGTCGCTCCGGCGGCTGCCGCCCCGTCTCTTCGCCTGGGCCTCGCGCCCCTCCGTGGGCGCGCGCGAGACCGATCCAGAATCATAGAAGCCTTCCTCTTTCCTCTCTCCTCCACTCCGCGGCGCGCGAGGGGGGAGGTGAGAAGGAGAAGGCGTTGTCAGAGGGCGGCGGGACCTCCCAGAAGCCCTCGCGCCTTCCGAGGAGTGCTTCCCATCCATCCTGTGGTGTTGGGTCGTCGTTTTGAATAGACAGTGCCCCGCGTTCTCACTCGTTCTCCTTTCATCATCATCATCATCATCATCATCATCATCATCATCATCATCATCATCATCATCATCATCATCATCATCATCATCATCATCATCATCATCAACATCATCATCATCATCATCAGCATCAGCATCAGCATCAGCATCAGCATCATCATCATCAGCTCATCATCATTATCAGCTCATCATCATCATCGTCGACGTCGACGTCATCATCATCATCATCATCATCGTCATCATCTTCATGAACAAAACCCATCATCATCATCGTCATCATCGTCATCATCATCATCGTCATCATCATCATCATCATCATCATCATCATGAACGTAATCATCGTCACCATCATCGCCATCTTCGTCATCATCATTACCATCTTCGTCATCATCATCATCATCATCGCCGTCACCATCACCATCATCGCCACACATTTCGACACACCCCTCACACATTTCGTAGCCCCACAGGGAGCTCCGCCGACGGCCCCAGTGGCATGGTTCGCATGCGGTTCCGCCCACATTTCGGCACCCCCCCCACACGTTTCGTGGCCCCATAGGGAGCTCCACCGAAGGCCCCAAGGGTAGGGTTCGCAAACGGTTCCGCCCTCATTTTGGCACACCCCTCACACGTTTCGTGGCCCCGTAGGGAGCTCCGCCGAAGGCCCCAGTGGCAGGGTTCGCATGTGGTTCATTCCCACTTTCGGGATTCACCTCACACGTTTCGTGGCCCCATGGGGGGCTCCGCCGAAGGCCCCAGTGGCAGGGTTCGCATGCGGTTCCACCCCCATTTCGGCAACCCACTCACACGTTTCGTGGCCCCATAGGGAGTTCCGCCGAAGGCCCCAGTGGCAGTGTTCGCATGCGGTTCCACCCCCATGTCGGCACACCCCTCACACGTTTAGTGGCCCCATAGGGAGCTCCACCAAAGGCCCCAGTGGCAGGGTTCGCGTGTGGACCTGTCGTGGGCCCATAGGGAGCTCCGCCGAAGGCTCCAGTGGCAGGGTTCGCATGCGGTTCCACCCCCGTTTTGGCACACCCCTCACACCGTTCGAGGGCTCATAGGGACCTCCGCTGAAGGCCCCAGTGGCACGTTTCGTGGCCCCATAGGGAGCTCCACCGAAGGCCCCAGTGGCAGTGTTCGCATGCTGTTCCACTCCCATGCCGGCACACCCCTCACACGTTTAGTGGCCCCATAGGGAGCTCCACCAAAGGCCCCAGTGGCAGGGTTCGCGTTTGGACTTTTCGTGGCCCCATAGGGAGCTCCACCGAAGGCCCCAGTGGCAGGGTTCGCATGCGGTTCCACCCCCATGTTGGCACACCCCTCACACGTTTTGTGGCCCCATAGGGAGCTCCACCAAAGGCCCCAGTGGCAGGGTTCGCGTGTGGACGTTTCGTGGGCCCATAGGGAGCTCCGCCGAAGGCTCCAGAGGCAGGGTTCGCATGCGGTTTCACCCCCATTTCGTCACGCCCCATAGGGGGAAATCTGCCGAAGGCCCAAGTGGCAGGGTTCGCATGCGATTCCACCCCCATTTCGGCACACTCCTCACATGTTTTTGGACCCCTAGGGAGCTCCACCGAAGGCCCCAGCGGCAGGGTTCGCATGCGGTTCCACCCCCATGTCGGCACATCCCTTACACGTTTCGTGGCCCTCTAGGGAGCTCCACTGCAGGCCCCAGTGGCAGGGTTCACATACTGTTCCACCCCCATTTGGGCACACCCTTCACACGGTTCGTGGCCCCATAGGGAGCTGCGCCGAAAGCCCCAGTGGCAGGGTTCGCATGCGGTCCCATCCCCTCTTCGGGTACACCTTTCACACTTTTTGTGGACCTCTAGGGAGATCCGCCGAAGGCCCCAGTGGCAGGGTTCGCATGCGGTTTCGCCCCCATTTCGTCACACCACTCACACGCTTCGTGGCCCCATGGGGAGCCCCACCGAAGACGATACTCACAATTGCGGCACTCGCAGCTGCATATGGTTGGGTCCTTCGCCAGGCTAATTTTTGTCTTCGGGGAAGGCTTAGACAATTTCTTGGAAGGCCAGGGGACTTCCGAACCTTCTGAGAAGGCCTTCTCCTTCTCACTTCCCCCCCTCGCTCGCCACCGATCCACGCCATCCTTCGTGGGGCGAGCGGCGAGCGAGGAGAGTCGCGGGGGAGATGCCGGGGCGAGGGGGCCGCGCACCGCGGCGGCCGCGGCAGCGGACCCGCCTGCAGGTCGCGTGCGCTGCACGAGGAGCTGCAGGAGTTGGTGGGCCCACGCTACCGCCTTACACCCCCTCCTCTTCCTCGGGGAAACGAACAATGACATACACATAAAAACTCGGAGGTCCGGGCGGATTTCTCGGATCGGTGCTGGGGCCCCGTGGCGGCGCCTCCGGCGCCGCCCCTGGCGCGCCAGGGAGGGGGGTCCAGCGCCGGCCCGAGAAACCCGCGCGGACCTCCGAGTTTTTATGTTTATGCCATTCTTCGTTCCCCTATTCCCTCAGCACGCTCCTCCTCCTCCCGTGCGTGCTGTCTGCCTGCGGCTGGCATGCTTGCCATCTGGCGCGAGCGCGCGGGAGGGCGCTGGCTCACTTGCTCTGCAGGCGCGGCCCTGTGCCAAGATGACGCACCGGCCTCTTCCCCGGGGCCGCGTGGGTGCTCGCGCTGGCGTCGGCTCGCGTGCCATGCCCGCACAGGTTACTGCCAGCGCTCGTGCAGGGTGGATCGGGACACCGCGTGCGCACGGCAGGGCAGGGCAGCGTGTGGCACGGCAGGGGAGGCCATGCCGCGGCAGGCTAGGCCTGGCATCGCTCGGACGTGTGCGTTTTTTCCTCGGCAAGGACCATCGAGGAGCATCCTTGATCATCTGGCGAAGAAGCCACGCACGAAACCGACAAAAACACAGGGAATGGACGTCCGAGCTATGGCGAGTAGGGCATGGCAGGCCAGGGGGGCATGCCGGGGACGGGCGGGGGAGGGCACCGAGCAGGGCAGAGCAGGGCGGGGCAGCGCAGGGTAGGGCCAGGCCTCGCGAGGCGGGGCGGGGCAGAGGGGCAGGGCGGGGCGGGGCAGCGTTCTCATTCCCTGTGCCTTCTGCTTCCCCAGGATATCCTAAGATGGGGTTTGTGTTGTTGGTGGGATGCCTGCGCTTCCCTCCCCAGTTCACCCGCCTCCCTCGTGCACTCATGCGTAAATCAGCTTCAGTCGTGCTCAGGTCCACTCGCACTCGGCTTAGTCATGCTTAGACTTAGCCACGCTCAGTCACTCATACTCCCAACGACGCGCACTCAGACTCCTTCATGTTCAGACTCACTCATACTCACATCCACGCACACTCAGACTCACTCACACCCAGACTCACGCACTCAGGCCACTTGATATTCAGACGCACACATATGTCACTCACAGTCAGACCCACCCATACTCGCTCCTCATACTCAGACTGGGTCATGCCCACTCCGACATAGTAGGAGTGGCATTTGGCCCCCCAAGAGGAGCCGCCAGCGAGAGGGACGTTTGCCCGTTGGTGTCGTCCAGAGTGTGGGGATGTCTCGAGCTAGGCGCTCGTTCAGAGTCGCCCGCTCCTCAGCTTTGAGAGCCGCTTGCTCACCTCGATGTAGCATGCGTGGCATTCGGGCACTTCGAGGAGGAGCCGCCAGGGATGAGGGGGCACTTGCCCGTCTGCGGCCAGGTTGTGGGGATGTCTCGAGCGAAGCGCTCGTTTGGAGTCGCTGGCTCCTCTGCTTTGGGAGCTGCGTGATCGCCGCGATGCAGCAGGCGTGGCGTTTGATCGCCCCAAGGAGGAGCCGCAAAGCAGGAGGACACTTGCTTGTCCGCGGCCAGGTAGTGGCGATGTCTCGAGCGAGGTGCTCGTTTGGAGTCGCCGACTCCTTCGCTGTGAGAGCTGCGTGATCGCCGCGATGCAGTAGGCGTGGCATTTTGGGCACAGCAGGGAGGAACCGTCAGGGGATATTTATGCCGTCCGCGCCGAGATTGTGGGGATATCGAGCGGTTCGCTCGTATTTTGCCCCCGACTCCTTTCTTTTGGGAGCCTTATGATTACCGCGAAGCAGCAGGCACTCCAAGGAGGAGCCGCCAGGACGTGTTGCGTGTCTCCGTTCGCGCTCCGGTTGTGGGGATGTCCCGAGCTGTTCGCTCGTTTTGCGTCGCCGACTCCTGTGCCTCTTGAGGGCCGCAAGGGGGGGAGCCGCCAGGGGGTGTTGTGCTCGCCCGTTCGCGCCCCGATTGTGGGGATGTCTCGAGCGGTCCGCTGGTTTTGACAGCCCCTGGCTCCCATGTGATCGTTTTTTGATTCATTGCTTTGCCGATCGGCGCGGGTCCTCGCCCCCCCCCAGCCCCCCCCATGTAGTGGATCTTGGCTGCTTTTTGGCGCGAGCGGGTGGAGCCTCCCCCAGAGGCCGCACTCTTGCAAACAGTGGAAGTAGGCAGAGGTCCAGAGCCAGACCCCCCCCCCGCTCCCCCGCTTCCGCCCAGCGTCGACACGCCGAATAAGAAACGACGCTCACCATCCCTTCAGAGCCCCATGATCCACGCGATGTAGCAGGCCAGCATGTGGGTATTCCAGTAGGGAGCCGCCAGGGGGGTGTTGCAGGTGCCCCTGCGCGGCCAGGCCGTCAGGGGCGTCCGTCGGGGGCTGTCCCGCGGTTGGCCTGTGGTTGTCCCGCGGTTGTGCTGCGGTGGGCCTGTGGTTGGCGCGTGGTTGTCCCGTGGTTGCCCTGTGTTTTTGTTGTTGTTGTTGTTGTTGTTGTTGTTGTTGTTGTTGTTGTTGTTGTTGTTGTTGTTGTTGTTGTTGTTGTTGTTGTTGTTGATGTTGATGATGTTGTTGTTGTTGTTGTTGTTGTTGGTGTAGTAGTAGTAGTAGTAGTAGTAGTAGTAGTAGTAGTTGTTGTTGTTGTTGTTGTTGTTGTTGTTGTTGTTGTTGTTGTTGTTGTTGTTGTTGTTCTTGTGGTTGTTGTTGTTCTTGTTGTTGTTGTTGTTGTTGTTGTTGTTGTTGTTGTTGTTATTGCTGTTGTTGTTGTTGTTGTTGTTGTTGTTGTTGTTGAATTCTCATTCCTGAAGAACAATTATTGTTGATCCCCCCTCACCGGTGCATACTGTTTTTTCTCAATCAAAGTGTGCCCCTCGACGCTCGCGTCTTGTTTTTTGACAGGGGAAGTCTTGGTGCTCAAACCGTGCCCCTGGCCCCCCGGATTACAGCAACAACGGCTCCCGCCTGAGACTTCCTCCAAATTTACTCAGGACCCCCGCTCCTGAGACTTACTCACAGTTTACAGAGGATCGGTGCTCCCGCCTGTGACTTCCTCGCAATTTAGTCATGACCCCCGCTCCCATCTGAGACTTCCTGACAATTTACACAGGAACGGCGCTTCCGCTGAAGACTTCCTTGTATTTGAAAATAAGACTTCCTCGCAGTTTAATCAAGACCCCCGCTCCTGCTAGAGAACCCTTCACATTTTATTCAGGAATTGCGCTCTCGCTTGTGACATCCATGCAATTTATTCAGAAATCGCGGTTTCGACGCTCAGGAAACACGCTTCGTCAAGGACACCGTTGCAATGTACATAGTGATCGTGCTCTCGCCATACTCAGGCATCCCGCTTGAATGTCCCACCCGCCCGACCCGCCCGTCAGGGGATCGCCCGCCCTTCGTGGGCTCCCGCCCGAGACTTCCTTCAGGAACGGCGCTTTCGCCTAGGACTTTCTCGAACGTTCACGCTCTTACCTTCCTGCTCCTCCTCCCTCTCCCTCCTCCCTCCTCCCTCCTCTCTTGCCTTCTCTCTCCCTCCTCTCTTCCCTCATCCTTATGCCTCTCTTCCCTATCCTCTCTCCCTCCTCTCCCTCCTCCCTTCTCCCTCCCCTCTTCTTCCTCCTCCCTCCCTTTTTTTGTTTTTGTTTTTGTTTTTTTTTGTTTCTCTCTCTCTCTCTCTCTCTCTCTCTCTCTCCGCTCTCTCTCTCTCTCTCTCTCTTTATCTACCTCTCTTATCTGTCTCTCTCTCTCTCTCTCTCTCTATGTGCCTCTAATCAACCGCCCCCGTCTTCGCTCCTTCTCTCCTGGCGTTCTCCCTCTTCCTTCGTCCCTCCCCCTCCCTTCCTCCCACTCCCCCTCGTTCTCCACCTCCTTTTTGCAGGGCCCACACCAATTCCAATGGCGGGCACATGTACGCCCACGAAGGATTGTCCGCCCGTTCAGGTTTGCCCGCCTGTCTAAGCCCGCCGCCCCCCGCAAAGAGAAATAATCCCCCCAAAGGGGGTGTGATCGAATACAAACAGGGCGGGTATCGAGGGTGTGGGGAACTCGTTTTGAATGACGCGCGGGCAAGTAAGAGCGAACAGTCTTATATTGATGGTTGTTGTGGTTGTGGTTGTGGCTGTGGTTGTTGTGGTTGTTGTGGTTGTTGTTGTTGCTGCTGTTGTTGTTGATGTCGTTGTTGTTGTGGTTGATTGTGATTGTTGCGCTTGTTGTTGTTGCTGCTGTTGTTGTTGTTGTTGTTGTTGTTGTTGTTGTTGTTGTTGTCCTGTGGTTGTCCCGTGGTTGTCCCGTGGTTGTTCCGTGGTTCCCTCTCTCTCTCTCTCTTTTTCTTTCTCTCTCATCCCCGATCGTCTCCCTGTGGAAGCCGGGGTGGGCGAGGATGGGCATGGCTCCCTTGTATTTTCGCAGGTGGAAGCAAAGAAGCAGATGTGCGGTTCCGCGTTCGTCACGTTCAAGAACGTTTCGAGCGCGAGGCACTTCTACAGCAGGAGCCCGCGAATCCGTATCGGTTTTGAGGGGCATGCTGCTGTCCACCCGCCGCCACCTGATTCCACACATGTGGGATACAGTGTCGAGGAGGGGCGAGGGGGAAGAATGAGCAGGAGAAGGATGAAGAGATTGCGTGCGGAGTCCCAGCGGATCGGGGCGCTGGACAAGAGGTTTGCTACGCGAGCCATCCAATCGAGACTCGTTGGTCGAGTGCATGTATTCCCTATGGTTGCTGGGCTTTGTGGTG